ATAAAATATCATTTGCTGTTACTACTGTAAATCTATATTCAATTATTATTGGATCTCCTTCAGTACTTTCAGAATCTTTACTTATTAAAATGATTTTGTTTCTGTATTTTAAAATATATTTTTATATCAACATATTGTAATGACAGTATATTTATTGAACAAAAATTAATTCTTTAATTTTTCAAAATAAGCAGAAACTAGTACAAACTTTGCTAAAGTGATTGTTTTTAACAAGTATTACCTTAGACATTATTAAAAATATATATATATTTTATTTTATCTGAAGTATTTGTATCAATACCGTGAGCCTTTTACCCCGTGTGTGGGGTAAAAGGCCCCTCTTGCCACCTCATACATTTATAAGATTTTTAAACAAAATAAACAACTTGAATGATTTATTTTCACACAAAATATGTTGCTCCATTAATGTTCAATACAACATTTTTTTTGTTTTGTTTTTTGCAATTATACATTTTAGGCGCAGTGAATAGCACATTTTTTTCTTAAGGTGGGCCTTTAGCCCCGTTGTACCCTACATTTAATTTCAAGATACTGCTTTATTATTATTAGTGGTCCTTGTCCGGATTATTATGAATGAAATCACAAAGCTATCGTATTAAATGCAATAAACAGAAATATAAAAGTGTCCCACATTTATTTTGACAAGAATTATAAATATACTCGGACTTTTATTTTGATAGGCGTGTTGTGACGCGCATGCGCTGTTCTCAAACTTCCACGTGCGCATGGGAAGCGCATTTCTCGCAAATAGTCATCTTCGCTAGTTCTGTGACATAATTGTTGACATTTATTGTTCTTTGCGTTAAGTGGCACTACATTACATCTTTAATAAAAATGTCGTGTTAGGATTTTCCTCATTCTGTCGGCATGTTTTTCTGTTGTACCTAAGCACAGATGTCTGGATAAAAACACCACGTTTACGTTAGAGTGCACGTCCTACTACGCTGAAATTAATAGGGGAGCGGCTGGAAACTAGCGACCACTCCTGGTTGGAAATAGTATTAACATCATAAACTGAAAGCAATCTTTACATGACTTGCTTTTCAAATGTTTTAAAATTGATCGTCCGAGTCTAATATGATCCCGCGGGCCGCCAGTTGCCCATCCCTGATTTAAGTTATTAATTAGGAATATTTAATTGCTGACGCTGTTTAAAAGAGCCATGTTACATTTACTTTCATGTCTTTGTTTTTGTAACAGAATTATCAACCATGCCCTTTGAGGAAATCATGAGGCTACAGAATAAAGTTGGAACAAAAGCATACAATAAAATAGCTTATGGTTCCACAAAGGCTCAGAAAAAAAACGACCCCATGAAACGATTAAATAAGCACAGGTACCTGTAGTGTTTAGTGTTATTTATATTGATTAATTATTATAGGATTTATTCATATTTTGCTTTTATATAATTATTTTCCATTTTAATTTGTTAAATTAAAATGACAAATGTATTGTTAAATTCATATAAATAAACAGTTGTAGTAGTTTTATATACTTATTTTCCATTTTAATTTTAGTTACATTAAAATGACAATTTTTGTTAAATTCATATAAATAAACAGTTTTAGTAATTTTATCATGTGTTTTTGTCTTTATTATTTGCATTGTTTAATTTATTTATTGTATGTTTTTAAATCTAATATTTATATTTTATTTAATTTCAGCTCCACTTCAATTATTGAAAATTACTTTTAAGTTATAGTTTTTATTTTATATTTTTATTATGTTATGTACTTTTTCATTTTTATTCGTTTTTTTTATGTTTCTGTTTAGCTATATTTCAGTTTTAGTTTTTGTAATTTTACTACTTCAAATTATTTCAGTTGTCAAGGCAGCATGTCCAATTTTTAAGTTTTAATCTAATATTCATGTTTTATTAGATTTCAGCTTTGATGATTTTTATAATCATCAAAGGAATGATAAAAATGAGTTTTATAATAGCAATAACAACACTTAACTGCTCAACTAGGTTTTTAAACATTTTTAACCAACTTTGATCACTGTTTGTAGTGATGCATCGTACAAAAAAATAAGCAATTGTGTGAGTTAAAGTTATTTTGTCTAGCTGTTTGTGGCTATGTGTATGTTTTGTCTAATCACTGTATTTTTTCTGAGATTTCTGCAAAGAAACATGTGCCTTTCCTTCGAAAAGTCGTTCCCGTCAAGAAAAGGGTGCGTTTTAGGAGTTTATTTAATTAATGATTGCTTGTACTTAGGGTTAGGGATTTAAACAAACTATGGAGACCTGATTTTTTACTTTTTAAACCTAACTTTTTCAGATTTCAAGGGACCCTCGCTTTGATGACCTCTCAGGAGAATACAAACCTGAAATTTTTTCTCGGACGTACAAATTCATTAATGACATCCGCCAAAAGGAAACAAAGGTCTGTGAAAATCTAAAATGCCTTACCGATTCCTGTTTGTTTTCATTATATGCATTATTTGTATGCCCACTGCTATTTGTTTCAGATAGTGAGAAAGAAACTCGGGAAAGCCAAATCAGACACTAAAAAGGAAGAACTGAAAGCCTTGCTTAAGAGAATGGTACGTTTAAAATATACAGACACTTTAAACTTGAATAACTCAAAGAAAGCTATATAAAACATCATTACAGTCGTGATAACCTTAATATTGCTGCTTATGATTTGTTTTATATCTAATCCGTGTGTGTATACAACAGGAAAACCAGCAGAGGGCCCGACAGAGACAAGAGCATGAAAGAGAAAAGGAACTTCACTTCAAGCAGAAACAGAGAGAGCTGGTTGGCCAGGGACACAAACCTTTCTACCTAAAGAAATGTAAATCTGTCTTTCTTTTTATTCTGTTCCTTGACTTTTTACATTGTTGAATTATATTTATAGAACATGTAGAACTTAATGATTCTTTTGGAGAACATTTGTTTGTAAATTCAGCTTTCTTTTGAGCGCCAGTGTTTGTAACAGTGTTATTTAGCAAAGAAAGATCAAATAACTTGGTAATATGCTAATTTTTAGTTTATGACATCTTTAAAACCCTTCTACAGCTGACAAGAAGAAGCTGGAATTGGCTGAGAAGTACAGCGAGCTGAAAAAGAGCGGGAAGCTGGAGAACTTCTTGAGTAAGAAGAGGAAACGTAATGCCACCAAGGATCGCAAAAAGTTGCCCAATCAGCACAAGAAGCGCCATATATGGACCAATCATGGCTCATCTGTGGCACCTTGAATTGATTATTTGTCTTAGTGTGACATAATGCAGAAGGACGTCTGCTGAAAAGTCAATCCTGCTGGACTGTGATGTTAAGAGAACTTGGTGTAATTTGAGGTGTATATTTCACCTACATTTGCACAGATATGGATTTAAATGTGTTTTGTTAACAGGTTTGCCATTTAAGATGTTTTTCTTAAATATCCATTGTGTTTTGTTTTTATTGCATTATGTTTTGAACATTTTCTTAAAATAAAATCCCTAAATTAATTCTCTGACACTCTTATTTTACCACTAGATGGAGCTACTGATTCTTTAAATAAAGATTCTCTGCATAAGCCTAATTTTTTTTGTTTCGACAAACCACAGTTCCAAACCAGCAAAAATTAATATGCAGAAAAATCAACTATCTGAACTGCCACCGCATGACGTTAATCCAATTTTTTGACCTCAAGGGCACTATACATAAACCCGTTTCATACAGACATCCGTCGACAGGATGAGTCAGCTCGCATTTGTATCTGCCCTCTCAAAATCCAAAAATATTTCCCTTTCGTCTAGATCATGACCCATTTAAACACGGCCTGTTTAGGCCGAGGTTGTTTGTAGTGAATCCACATGGTTTCGAAGACGGCCATATCTTGAAATTGCTATGAGTAAGATGCAGACAGCAAGGGCCCTGCTTGAGAAATCACAATTTTCAACAGCGTCATAGTTTAATCTTTTAGTGTTCAGCTTTTTTTGTGTTCTTCTGGATTAACCTACTTTGTAGCAAGGGTTTCCTAAACCTTGCAATCCTGGAACAAACACCCCTTGGCTCAAGCCGCACAAGGGTAAAGACCTCACTTAGTCATTTAATTTGCATCCTTGAGTAATGGATGGGACTATCATTGCTATATATCTTCCTAACCTGCTGGTCCATGTGCAACTAGAGTCCATCACGTCCCTTAAGGGGGTGGATTTAATGCAGTGTGCAAATTTAAAGAAGGGCTTGATTTTAAAGCAGGACACCACAGCTAAGACTTTCGTGTTTGAAACCATCCTCGCTTGAATACAGAACGGTGGATTAGTGGCCTTCCTTAACCTTTGGTTTCATGTCGGAGTCATTCCTCTGCAGTTAATTCCTTTCTTTGAGTCACCGGAGGCTTTTAGAAATCTTGTCTCGGGAATCTAAAGTACACAATCCCTTCCCCTTCATCCTAAATCTGTCTTGTTAAAGATGCGGTCGTATTTCCGGTATTAATAAGAATCTGACGCTTCGGCTAAACAGAAGATTGTAGCATTTGTCACACTCTATGGCCATTGGGCCACCCAAAGGAGTTATTGCTGGAATACAAGCAGGGTTCGGGGAATGCTAAACTGAGAACCATCATTCTTAATCCACGAGTTAGGTTATTGCTACGCCTTCGTGCGCAGGAAAGTAACCCAAGGCAACCCGAGACTCTTTTCAGACAGTCGCAATAGGCACAGAGGACAGATTTGCATTTTATTACCAACTTGTCACTTTGTTGATGTCTCCATATTTATGGGTACAACAGTGGAATGAGTGGAGTGGGATTGGGAAATGAAACAGACCAGACTCAGACCACGCCAAAGGCATCAAAACAAAGAATGCACTGATACGTGATTTTTAGGACATGCTCTTTTCAATTTTGGATCAACTTTTGTTGGTCCTGGAAAAACATTCCTAGCAAAGAAACAGTCCTAAACCTATTTCAGTCCTCAACCTTGAATTATGGATTGATAAGAATGGCGTACATGCACCTAAACTTAATCTTTTCCCTTATCACTAATTACTGTGTCTAATTGGATGATAGTAATATTGTCAAAGGACCGACACGTAAGTGTATCCTACTTTGCAAAACCATGGTCAATTTTCAGTGTTCAAATCATCATTTGGAAGCTTCTACTTAAGACTTAAGAGTGATTTTGGTTGAAACAAAATGGACTCGCTGGACAATTTAATATTTCCTTCTTTTGTTGTAAATTCCTGACAAAGACAGGAAGCTTCTCTAATGCCAGTACAATGTAATGAAGTGCAAATGATGCATTCAAGGTGTGTAGGGTGACCATACGTCCTCTTTTTCCCGGACATATCCTGGCTGGGATTTCTACATTTCCTAAAATGTCTGAGTTTTGGCTTTGTTTTCAGATTTGCTAAAGGTAATGGCTGAAAAGTACCTTGACCAATAGCGTGCAGGCATTGTACACAATTGACCAATCATGGTGTGTGAGAAGGTGGGATCTATAGAGAACAGTTAAAGCAATGCAAATATGTGTGTGTGTATATATATATAATGAATGAGGACTGAAGAGAGAACGTCAGTAGGAAAACAAAGCCAAAACCCAGACATTTTAAGCAATTTACAAATCTCTGCCAGTTTTGTTAAATGCAGTTAAATGCACATGAACATCACCACAAAGTCATATGAAAATTTTAAGAGTTAGGGCGTCAGTGAGAAAACATGGAGGACGATATGGATGAAACCCATGTACTGATATTAAAATTGATGATATGATTTTTTCCAATTTACAATAAAACAGGAAAATGTAGGATCATGGGAAATGTAGTTTGGTCATAAGCATTTTTAGACAAGCTTCGCTTTTTTTCACCAATGGTACATAAAACATCTAAATTGTCCAGTCTAAATTCTCAACTTCTAATGGTCAATACCAATTTATTTCCACCACAAGTGTTTATTCAATGACTTAAACTAATAAAGGCCAAAGTTTCCCACTGATAAATACGACCTAAAGTGGCATTTTTGCATGCTCAACTCGCAAGTATAGGATCATTCTGACTTGACTTCAAACTACTTCATCAAGAAGATCATTTTAACACCTTAACAATCAAAAGAGAGTGTCTTCACACTTTTTTCAGTTCTCCCCTGAAAGATTTCGTAAGATAGAGTGGTTTGCCTTGCCAAGAGCCAACAATCCATTTCAGGGGCGGCCTGCTGGGAAATCTACTGCTAAATGAGGAGGGAGCTGTGTGCCTTACAGAAGCGGACTCCACGACACCTCCGCCTCGTCCCCTGACACATTACGACAGTCCTGTCCGTAATGACATTAGCCGACTGAGTGCTGAGAAGCAAACTGCTGCCTGGATTGAATTACCGCACCCCTCAGTTTCTCTCGCCCGTCAGATTATCCATCTGATGACCATCGGAGGGAAAGTGGATTTTCGAGATGCTGCCCAAGTCTCACATGTGTGCTCTTCAAGGCTAAAGATTTGTTTATGACCATGGATATGTGGATTTTACAAATAAGGTGGTGAAAGGGAATCAAGAACACATTTAGGGATGCAACATGGTGCAGATGGGATTAATGTTGTGTCAGGTTAGTGTTAACTGCATTGGTAATCAGGGATTTGAGCTTGGATGTGTGATAAAAGGATATTGCGAAAGCAGGCGAACTTTTATCACCGTACCAAGTCATATTACTTGAATATAAAATGGTTGTTTCTGGCTGAAACACTTGCAGGTTAAATCGCATTTGGTTTAATCAGCCCTAAACTTAGAGTGTGAAACACAAGACAAAAGAAAAATAAATATTTAGGCTTTGCATTCAATATGGGCACAGAAAGCACATCAATATAAATACATCAAATCTTTTCTTATTCAGGCCTATTGTAGATTCATGAAACAGGCTTTCCTGACATTTCTCCTTCGAGTTTAGATTCCCAAAAGGGGCAAAGAACAACTAAACAAATAATTTATTTTTAGGTGAAGGTCTTTGTAATTTCTGCATCAATAGCGGCATATAAGAGACTTGCCAAAACTAGATTTGGAGAAAATGTAGGTTGTACTTGCCCAGGAAAATCTTGCGGTTCTCAGATAGTGCATGGCTGCAATGTGGTTGCAAGGGCATTTTGTACAGGTTCTTGGCTCTTGGTTGCTGTATAGTTTCTAGAAAGTTCTGGGTGTTTGCTATAGGGTACTTTGGGAGGTTTCCAGGTGTTTTTTAGTATGTTCTGGGTGGTTTCTAGGTGGTTACCAATGTATTTTAGGTGGCTTCTATCTATCTATCTATCTATCTATCTATCTATCCTTTAACTAAACATCTTACAGATTTTGTGAGGAGCATGTAAACTCATGAGCTGCATATAATGCTTGGTTACATAAAACAAACTAAGCTGTCCCACAATGCCTCAGCCTTGTTTTTTATCATATCAGGCAGGTATGTTCTGGGTGGTTTCTAGGTAGTTACCAATGTATTTTAGGTGGCTTCTATCTATCTATCTATCTATCTATCCTTTAACTAAACATCTTACAGATTTTGTGAGGAGCATGTAAACTCATGAGCTGCATATAATGCTTGGTTACATAAAACAAACTAAGCTGTCCCACAATGCCTCAGCCTTGTTTTTTATCATATCAGGCAGCAACTTGTCAGGGTTTAATATGACAGCTATTTGTACAAAACATCTTAAGCAGAAAGACAAAGGAGTGTGACAAGAGAAGTACTTCTGACAATGTAAACAAGTCTGTGACCGATTTTTTCACAGCGGCTCTGGCTTCTCAAATCTTCTCTTAGGCACAAACGGAGTGATTGATTCATCTTTCACTCAGTGGTCGCTGAACAAATCAGTTTTAACTGAAACTATCACTCTTATTGAATTTTTATCTAGACTTTTATACCTAGTGGAAAGTAATTATTTCTTTGGCTTTTGAATATACACTATCAAAAGTGTGAAATTATTTTTTTTAGTGTTTAACATTCAAAGGAAGACTGCTTTGTGTCTTGACACTGATATATTAATTTCATACCCCGCATAAAACATGCCCCATATGGAGTTGTTAACAATGGGATGAATGTGTATGGAATATTAAGATGCTTAATTATATTCAAAATGAATTTTAAAAATGAACGAACAAAGCCAAAGACTGATTAACTGAACATATGCCTTCAAGTGTCTTCATTACAGTTTAATCAAATAATAACTGATAATGGTGCTATAAATTGCCTTTCAACCCAGAAACAATGCAATGCAATCACTGACATCGGTGATAATATAGCAAAAAACAAAAAAAAGGAAAAACAATGGCGCATGGTATTATGACATCCTTAAATTAACCTGCAATTCATCTTAAAGTCAGACATATGTGCCACCCAAAAATACATCATATTACAGAGTTAAAATGGGTTACAAATGAGGTTTAATGTTGATTTTTA